TAAGATCAAATATAGTGTCAAGACAAAAGTAACAAGCTGGGAAAGGTAGCACACATCTGTAATCCCAGCACTTGGGAGGCTGAGGCAGGAGGATCACCATGAGTTCAAGGCAGGCCCGGACTACACAGTAAGTTCAAGGCCAGCCTCAACTACAGCACACAGTAAGACCCTATCTCAAAACAAACAAACAAACAAGAACAGAAGGAAAAAGAATGGTTGGTTACAAGTCCAACTCCATAGTCAAATGACCTGAATTCAAATCCTACCCCCATTAGTCACTAAATGTAGAAATTGGGCAAGTGGGCTGCTTATGCTCTCTGTGATGATGTGGGTAGCCAGAATACTAGTAATAACAAAACCTGCCTCATATGATTGGCCTGACTCACTCTATGTGTGTAAGGCACCCCGCACAGAAGTACTAAATAAATTTAATGGAAAAAGAATTCTATGGGGCTGGGGATTTAGCTCAGCGGCATAAGCGCCTGCCTTGCAAGCAGGCAGTCGTGAGTTCAATCCCTGGTACCAATAAAAAGGAAAAAGACAAAAAAAAATTGTAAAAAAAAAAAAAGAATTCTAAACACTTAAGAAAAAAAAAGTAAGCAGATCATGCACACACCTATAATCCCAGCAACTTGGGACACTGAGGCAGGGGGATCACAAACTTGAGGCCAGGCTGGCCAACTAGGCAAGACCTCAACTCAAAAAAAGAAGTAGGCCGGAGATTTAGCTCTGTAACGTAAGTGCCTACCAGGCAAAGTGAGGTCATGAATTTGATCGACGGTGCAAAAAAAAAAGTTCTACAGGTGTTTGTTTTATTAATGAAGAAATCAAAACTATAACAGGGGGCTGAGGATTTAGCTCAGTGGCATAAGCACCTGCCTTACAAGCAGGCGGTCACGAGTTCGACCCCCAGTACTGATAAAAATAAATAAATAAACACAACAACAGGGGAAAGGCTGGAATGAAGCTAGGAGAAAGCTAGGTGATTTAAGTATACAGGTTGTCTGAAAATGCCAGACTTGTAACTACACTTCTTTACACTTCTGTTAGTGATACATCTGATCTTCAGTGCCTATTGATTTGATTCCTTTATATTTCTAGACACTATCTCTGAACGTGGTAAAGGCTCAAAGGAAGATTCAGAGGTTAGAAACTCCATGCACAATGAATAAATGTCAAAGTGGGGTGCACAAAGCCTCAGCAGAAACTCTGGCCTTTCGTCAGCCTCTTTAGCCATGGGCCTACCCAGGCCCTCCAATCCATGGTCACCATTAAAGAACCCAGAAAAAGGGAATATTGAGATGATTCCTGAACAGACCCTGATCCCATAATAATGGGGCAATGATACCCACAGCCCAAGTCTTTCTGTCTTTGCACTGCAAGCTGTGCGTATCAGAAAGGGCCTCTGCTGAAGAATCAGACACACCAGGGGCTGAATCCCAGCTCAGTTCCTTACTAGTATGTAGCTGACAAAGCACCCATCAACAGGGCACCATCACTCGACAGGCGAATGCTGGCTCTGCCACAGCCCCAGCAGCTGGGTGCCCTGACCCTGGCCTAACACACAGAGGCACCACAGACAGTTGAGCCCAAAGTCCAGACTTTCCATGGAAACAGGGAGGCTCCATAGCCCGGAATGCCCCAGGCAACTCCCCTGCCCCCCCCAGTGCTACCCCCCAAGGACAATGAGGTCCTGTTTTCCAAAGGGTCAAGACTGCTGAGAAGCTGAAAGAAGACATGTCCAGATTCCAGCAGTAACTGGGCATTGCCAACAGCTGGCTGTTCCCCTTGCTAGTGGATGGGAAAGCGAGCTATCAAGTCCTGCACTGGACCCACCCTCTGCCTTTCAGGCCACTTCCTAGGGATGGCCCCCAGGGCAGAAATTTTAGGGTAACTATCAGTTGATCTGCAAGCTTTGTGGTTCATCCCCTAGTTCGTCCCCAGCCCCTACTGCGTTATGATCAAGATCACCAGATCTGGAATTAGATCATTCTAGACTCAAACTCCAGCTCCCCCTTCGAACTTCGCTGAGCTCTGGTTTCTGCATCTAGGAAGCAAAGATAAAACATTTCCCTCTCGGACAGTTTCAATAATACTCGAAAAGTGCTGAGTACAGTGCCTGCCTCCCAGCAAGCATGTGTGATCCTTGTCAGTCTACAGTTGTGACCACCCCACTTTGCATCCAGTACATGAGGAACACGAACAAGGGGGAAGAGAGGGGTTGGGGAAAAAAACAGGATCAGAGTGCATCTCAGTGTTGTAGGAACTCTGTCCAGGAAACTCCGGCCAGAACACGAACAGTGATCTCCCAGCCAAACCAGCATCTAAACAGTAATAAAAAAAAAAGCCAGCAAGCAGCCACCCGGCAGCACAAGTGGAGAGAACACACAGAGAAGGGCAGGACATGCTGTGTTTATGTTTTTCTGCCCAAAGAGCTATAAATTTGTAACTTATTAAACAGCACATGGCGATTCTGTCACTGGCCACTATGGGGAGGGGAAGAGTTTTTTTGTTGTTGTTTTTTTTTTTTTTTTTTAAAGACCAAAAAACAAAGTCATAAAGGAATCTTGGCTCTCCTGGCCTTGCCACAGGAGACCACCGTAAAGTCCCTGCGGTACTGGAGATGAGGAAGCTCACAGCTGACAGCACTCTAAGGAGAAAAATAAAAACAAGAGGCCTGGCCTTTGTGTCCACCCTAACTAAAGAAAACAGCTGACAGGCAGTGTGCTGAGCAGCCATCCAGACAGCTGACAGGGCCTGGGCTCAGAGGCAAATTCCTCTCCCCTCCAGCACACCCGATTCTTCCCACCCCAGACTCCGGTCAGCCAGGCGTGGCTGGTCCCCTGGTAGCTCTGGCCAAGGAAGTGAGGAAGCCAGGACACAAGCAACTTGCAGAGCCTCTGAGGAAGGTGGCAGAAGTCACAGGTGGCAGACCCTGCCCACTGCAACCCTTCTTCAAGTGCCTGGGAGCCCTCTTCCCACAAAACAACCTCTTGTACACAAGAGTTGCAGATCAAGAAGTTAGGAACTGGGCTCCCAGGCATGATTTTGTCATAGTAGAGCCGCGCAGCTTTTGATGGGAGAATCAAGTCTCTCTTGTTCTCACTGTCCTCAATTTATAAAAGACAGGTAGTCATGTCAGCAGTGGCCTTAGGGAGATCTTACAAGAGAGTTGTTGTGAAGATGAGACAAATCTGGGCATGGGGAAAGTACTCCATAAACAGCAAATTTCAATTCCAACAATCCCCTGTGCCAGGACACTCTCTTTCCTGGCCCTAAATGGAAGACCGTCAGAAGACAGGAATTCCGGACTTTGTGAACTCTACAAAGACTTTCTCAGTCCTTCAAACAACACCACGACTGTCCAGAAGGAACAGAATCCTATCACCACGTTAGAAACTGTAACTCCGTTCCCTAGTTGCAACTGAGAAAGCACTGAGACTTTCAGATCCTGATTCAAAGCACATGCCCCAGCCTCCTTTCTGCTTAGTTATTTTTATGTGAAAAAAAATACCTGCCTGAAGCCAAGCCAACCTTGAGTGTTGGGAAAATGGGTGCCAAGCCTGGCCCAACGGCAGAACTGTGCTTGGCAGGCATCATATTTTGCAAAACAGACAGGACCCTACACCAACCTCCCTCTTCCAGAACCTCCCAGGGCCACCCCATTCCACAGTTCTGTCTGATGAATCTGCTTCTCAGAGCCCGGGACAGAGGAGGCATCAGTTGGTCACACAAGCCACTTACAGTCCAAAGAGGGAAGACAAGGGTCCTACAGAGAAGAAACTTTCCCCTGTACATTCTTCCCAGCTCAGCGACATGGGGGAGCAGAGAGAAGCAGTGAATCCTCTGCTATGGGATTCACACCACTCACTAAAGTCATTCTTAGAGCTCTGGCATGAAGCCTCTTGGGTTCAAAATCCACTTCTAGGAGACACTTTCCTTTTCCTGAAGCAACACCAGATCAAGAATGGACTGAAAAGAGCAGCCTCAGGGCTCCAATAACATGAAAACAGTAAAACTCTGTTCCAGGCATCCTGTCCTCCTTACCTGTGTGGCTGCCAACAGGGCCTGATGCTGGGGGTAGAGGACCCTGCCAGCCAGGGCCTGTTCAGAGATGGCCATACCTTCTGGCCTGCTTCCCACTTCATTACTCTGGCATTTCACCAGGATGGGAGAATGATGGGGAGGGAGCACGACTCCCCGACTGTCTTCATTTATAGGACCACAAATGAAGAAAAGAGAGACCTGTCCCAGGGGGATGGATGGCTGGTCACTACTGACACTACTGGTCACTTAGTGGAGTGATTGGTCCATGAAACAGGGTGATCAGACTCGAAATGAGGGGTTTTCTGGAGTAGACTGGGAAACTTGTCATTTGGAACCGGGGGTGTGGTCATCACAGGTTCACCACTAGCTTGTAAATCTGACTTGTAAAATGAAAGAAGTGGTCTCCCACGGTCTACTCCTTGGGGGGAGGTGTCAGTCTGGAGTGGGGGACTACTTAGAGGGAGAGGAGTGATCCCCAGAAGTGAAGGACCAGCCCATGATAATGTATAAAGAGAAGGATCCTCGAATTGGGGAGTAGATCTGTGTGAGGTGGGGGTGGGGATCGGTCTGTGAGGTGAGGGTCCAGTACCAGATGAAGCGGTCTGGTGCCAGGGGCAGGGGTCCCGTTCTGAAGCCGACGGCGTGGGCCCCTGGGGATGAGCTGGTCCTGGGCCCGGGAAGGGAGACAAGGTTGGGTCGCCATGGTCCGGGGTCCCAAGGTGGGGCTGTCCCCAGGCGGAGGGCAGCGATGGTGAGGACGGCGATGGGGGTGGCCTGGCCTGGGAGGCCCAAAGCGGGATCCCGGCTCCGCGGCGCCCTGACCCGCAGGGACAGGAACAGGGGCCCCGGCCGCAGGGGGTGGGATCCTGCGGCCCCCGCCGCTCGCTCCCGCCAGCCCTGCCCGGGACCGCGCGCCCCTGGCCGCTTCCTCCGTCAGCCTCTGGCTCACTCACCCAGATCGTCCATGGTGGGGCCGCGGGCGCAGGGATCCGGCTCGGCGTGCTGCTCGCTGCCCGTCCCGGAGCTGCTGCTCTCCGCCCGGCAACTTTTACGCCGCCAGCCTTGGCCCAGAACGGAACGCGCCGCCGCCGCGCGCGCCCGCGCCCCCCGCGCCCCGCCCCCGCCGCGGCCGCGAACATCTTGCCCCGCCCCACGAGCGCACTGGACACACCCCGCCGCGCTCGCAAGCCAGTTGGCCACGCCTCCCGCGCACGATGGGCACGCCCCTCCACTCGCGGGCGCGCGCCGAAGGCCGGACTGGGGGCGGCGCTGGGTGTGGCTGCGGCGCCCCCTGGTGGACAACCGGGCAAGTGGGAACCCCCTCAGGGCTCCAGTCCCTTGCGCTACTCTCTTGGCCTGACCTTCAAGTAGACAGATGTGTCAGTCACTCTTTCATCGTATGCTTCCGTATCCACTGGAAAGGCTGATTCTCCCAGTAACTCCCTTCCCTAGATCAATACCAGGCAAGGGCTGGTGCCTTCGGAGGCTCTTTCCTGGGGTCACTTTCTGGACTGTGCAGGTCACAGATTAGCCTTTGAGCACAGATCTAGTGCTTTATTGTTATCAGCATTATTATTATTTTAGGTTTTTTTAGACAATGTTTCACTATGCAATTCAGACTGGTCTTTTTTTTTTCTGGCACTGGGAATCGGACTCACAACCTCACGCTTGCTAGGCAGGCACTGTGCCACTGAGCTATCCCCAGATTGCTCTTGAGCTCACTGTTAACCTAGGTTGGTCTCAAACTCGCAGCAATCCTCTTGCCTCAGCCTCTTGGTTGCTAGGACTCTACGCATGTCTGGTGTCCAATACTTTTAACAATATACATCTTTCAATCTTTACAAATAAGCTCTCCCTAGGGTCTTTGCCAAGATTTTGCATGGGGTAACACTCCCCCCTCCCATCATTAGTTTTCAGAGGGAAAACTATAGTAAAGTCACACGGAAGGCACTCAGAAACTGGCTGATAATCACAGCCTGTATTTCTTAAGTGTACTGATGAATACTATATAGCTGTTATGCAAACTAACTCTCCTTGAGGTGGTTATCATTTATCCTACCACTAGCTCTTCCTCACACTTTAAAATGGATGATGGTAGTTTGCCAGTGTTACATTCAAATGCCCTGCAGATACAACTTCAATCTGCATTCCTCAAGAACCCAGCACCAAGTCCCTCTGTGTCAGGTCTGATTCCCAGAAAGCACACACTGAGATAAAATTAAAGACAATATCTGTGAAACAGAAATAAATAGGGTTGGGCAAGGAGAGAGTCACATGTGACAAAAGCAGGTATCTCAGTGAACTCAGGAGGCTGAAGCAGGAGGATCACTGTGAATTCAAGGCCAGCCTGGGCTACACTGAGTTCAAGGCCAGCCTGAACTAACTATATCCTGCAAAAAAGTTTATCATCTCATTTCCTAGATGATATTGAAAAAAGAAAAAAAAAGTTTATCATCATTATTTTGGGGGTTTCAACATAAAACCATTTCCTCAGAAAACCATTTCCTGGCCCTGTTACTAACATTTTTTTAGCACCTACAAGCATTCATCATGATCATAACTAAGTAAACTAGCGTGGTGGCACACGTCTATAATCCCAGCACTCATGAGACTTAATGATCCTCCTGTCTCAAAAGATTAAAAAGGTCCTTCATTCAAACTCCAGTACCATTTAAAAAGTTAAACATAACTGGGCATGGTGGCACATGCCTGTAATTCTAGCACTCAGGAGGCTAAGGCAGCAAGGCCAGCCTGGGCTGCAAAGTCGGCCAGCCTGAACCATACAGTGAAATCCTGCCTCAAAAACACAAAATAAAACAGGCAGTCGTGAGTTCGATTCCCGGTACCGATAAAAAAGAAAAAGACAAAAATTAAATTAAATTAAATTTAAATTAAACAAAAAAATTAGGGGCTGGGGATTTAGCTCAGCAGCATAAGCACTTGCCTTGCAAGCAGGCAGTCATGAGTTTGATCCCCGGTACCAAAGAAAATAAATAAATTAACTAAATTAAATTAAACAAAAAAGTAAGTGGAGCAGGCCAGGGAGTTAGCTCAGTCACATAAGTGCCTGCCTGGCAAGTGTGAGGTTGTGAGTTCAATCCCCAGTACCAAAAGCTAAAAACTAAAAACAATAAAATAAATGGAACTATCTAGTCTGTAGTCTTTTGGAGAATTCAGAACTGGGGGAATCTGCGCTTTTATTTCTGCACAGGGGAAAGAAGTTACAGGGGACTGAACCCAGGGTATTGCACACACTCAGCAACACTCAACCACTAAGCTACATCCTCAACCGTCTTTAGGGAAAAAAAAAAAACCAGTATCTCACTATGCAATCCAGGCTGACTTTGAACTCGCTGTCTACCCAGGACTGGCCTTGAATTCACCATGATCTTCCTGCTTCAGCTTCCCAAGTGCTGTGATTGTAGCCACGCACCACTGCCTACTTGCATTTATTTATGTATTTATTTAAGTACTAGAGATTGAACCCAGACAACACTGAACTGCATTCCCAGCCCCTCTCCCTTGTTTTTTTTTTGTTTTTGTTTTTGTTTTTTTGCAACAAGGTTTCACTGTACTTCAGGCTGGCCTTGGATTCACAATATAGCCCAATTGGCCTAGCACTCATGGCAATCTCCCTGCCTCAGCCTCCCAAGTCTTGGGATCATAGGCATCTACTACCACTCCTGGTTTAAAATTTTATTTTAGCTAGGGATTTAGCTCAGCAGTATAAGGGCCTGCCTTGCAAGCGTGAGGTTGTGAGTCCAATCCCTGTTACCAAGAAAGGAAAAAAAAAGTAAAATTTTATTTTAAAGATTGGAAGTGTGGCACCAGGTTAAAACACTTGCCTAGCATGTCTGAAGCCCTGGGTTCAATACTCAGTGCCACCAAAAAATAAAATAAAATAAAAATTTGGGGGCAAAAATCTCACTAAGTTGCCTGGGCTAGCCTTAGATTTTCAATTTTCCTGCCTCAGCCTAAGTAATCCGCAGCCTGGGATTACAAGCGTGCACCACCACATCCTGCTGAGGTCTGGCGTCTTTGACTTGGTGTAACGGATGGAAGTGTGTCTGTACCAATTGTTTCCCCTTTTCCCTGTGGAGTAGGACTCCACTGTGCCGGTGAGCCAGCACTTGCTTCTCAATTATCCTGATGAGCGACATGAAACTTCTTTCCCAGTTTGGGCTGACAAAAGCTGCTATGAACATTTGCGTAGAAGTCTCCTGAGGACATATGGTTTCATTTCTCTTGGGTAAATACCTAACAGTAGAATAACTGGGTTGCAAAGTAACATTTAAAAAATGTAAATTCAGTGTCCTCAGTCCCCAGTTCAACCACTCTAGTGGTTTCCTGTTGCACTTGGAATAAAATACAAACTCCACCAGGGTCTCCATGGCTGCACCTCTGATCTGGGCTTCTCCAGTCTCCTCGGGTGCACTGTGCTAGGGCCACACTGGCCTCTTCCTGCTTTACATCCCTGGAGCCTAGAAAGCTACTTCTGGCTTTAGGCCCTTTTTAAAGTTTAGAGGTTCCGGTCCCCCCCCCTTTCTGGAATGTTCTTTGCAGATGTTGGCTTGGCTGTATCATCTCTGTGCATCCTGAACATTGAATCTAAAGTCTCCCTGATGCTGAGTGTGGTAATCCCAGAGTGATTGCAAACTCAAGCCCAGTTTGGGCGATTTAGCAACTAGGCAAAACCTTGTCTGAAAATTAAGAACTTAAAAGGCTGGTGATGTAGCTCAGTGGGAAAACTTCAGGTTCAAAAAGAGAGCAAGGGGGGAGGGGGAAGAAAAGGAAGGAAGGAAGGAAAGGAGGAAGGGAGAGAGACAGACAGACAGGAGGGAAGGAAGAAAGGGAGGGCCAGAGACACAGCTCAGTGGTACAGCACACTCTCAGCACAGGAAAGGCCCCGGGTTCCATTCTTAGCACACACACGAAAACGGTGAAATGAGACCTGGAAACTGTTTTCAAGAAAGCTTCTGACTGGGACCTGGTTTTTGAAGAATAGAAGGCTGCAGGGAGTGCATTCCAAAAGGAGGGGCTGCAGCTCGCTCGGAAAGGTATGCTGAGGGCCTGAACTAGAGAGCAAGAGAGAAAGTTTATCTCAAAAAGGAAATAAACTCCTCTAAAAGGTGGAGCCCAGCAGAAACTTCAGACATCTGGGACTACCTCTAGTGTTCAGCAGTCTCAAAAAAGGTTAGATTCAAAGCCGGCTGTGGTGGCTCATGCCTATAGTCCCGGCACTTGGAAGGCTGAGGCAGAAGGATCGTTGCAAGTTCAAGACCAGCCTAGACTACAAAGTGAGCTCAAGGCCAGCCTGAACTGCATAGTGAGACCCTGTCTCAAAAAGACAAACACACACACACACACACACACACACACACACAGGTTAGGTTCAAATCCCAGCTCTGCACCTGCCAACTATGCAGACTTGGGCATGATGCTTCACTCAGCTGAGCCTCATTTTTCTGATCCACAAAATGGGAACATGGTGGGACTGTGGTTTACAGCAAGTAGCTTAATCACTTTGAGCCTCAGTTGCTTGAACTGCCAAATCTGGATAATGAAGCACACACTTTCCATGCTTGCCTGGGATTCTACAACAGCAAAACTGCATGAAAATGACTAAGAAACTGTAACCTATAATTATCATCAAAGGAACAGGGTATTCCAACACTCTCACTTGTGGGACTGAAACAAGAGGATCACTGTGAGTTTGGGGCCAACCTGGGCCACATAAGCAAATTCAAGGCCTGCAATACCTAGTAAGACCCTGTCTCAAAAAACAAAACAAAAGAAACAGGAATCCAAGAGGAATTTCAAGACTAGAAGAGAGACAGGTTGGGGATTTTTCTAGCCACCAATAGGTTCCAATTAATAATAATATAATAATTAATAATAATTATAATTAATTAATAATAATTATAATAATTACCATATAAAATTTTTCATTATTTGGAATTTATTGTTTAACATGTGGGCAGAAAAATATTGTTTTTTGTTTTTGTAATGGGGCTTGCATCCAGGGCACACTGAGGTTTATTTTGAAGCAGTCTCCCTGAGGCTATTGTCAAACTTGCTATCCTCCTGCCTCAGCCT